GGGGGGGGGGGGATTTCTTCGGGCAGCATCTATACTCTCTGCGGTCCACTGTTATTGTCCAAATCTAGAGATGCTTTTTCATGCCAATCTCTCGAGTCATCATTAGGCCTTCTCTAAGAATTTCACATTCCAACAGACAATTTCAAACCAAACTTGTTATTGAATCAAACAAGACGAAAGATTGTTTTCGAATCTTGTGTATTAATTAAAAATAAAAATGTTTTAAGAAAAACACATACCCTATTGTTGGCTGTCTAGGTCTACTTTTATTCAATTTCCAGCTATTGAGGGATCTTTATGCTTTATGCAGCATCTATACTCTCTGCGGTCCACTGTTATTGTCCAAATCTAGAGATGCTTTTTCATGCCAATCTCTCGAGTCATCATTAGGCCTTCTCTAAGAATTTCACATTCCAACAGACAATTTCAAACCAAACTTGTTATTGAATCAAACAAGACGAAAGATTGTTTTCGAATCTTGTGTATTAATTAAAAATAAAAATGTTTTAAGAAAAACACATACCCTATTGTTGGCGATTCCTTCATAATCATACATATAAATCCCAATAAATCGTTTTAAGTGGTTGCCATGGAAACAGTAAGTATATATTACCATACGTAATGAAAAAGTCAATATCAATACCTACTCATTCTTCATCAAAGAGCTTCTTACCTTCGGATATGTAGCCTATTAAGGCCGACGAGTAGCAAAATACATCGAGATCGATTAAAATTTGTCCGATTTTTCTTAATCTCTGTTAATGTGAAGAACACTCCAGTCATGAATAGCAGTTGAATCAAACAATTTTACCAAAATCATTCTTCTACTTCGTATATCTTCTGCTACAGTTTACATCTTCTGTTACCGTAATGTAATGATATGCGAAGAAACCTGGCACTGGTAGTCGTGATTATCAAGTATAGTTGATATCCTGCACGATAATTCGATCGATATATCTGGATAATCGGATAATGTTACCAGGAAAATAAGGCAGCAGGTGCTACTATAACACTATATTGTAGTTATTGCTTCATGTAAATGGAATAATCAGTACAAATATATCAGAACATAAGACTACAGCATAAAGATCCCTCAATAGCTGGAAATTGAATAAAAGTAGACCTAGACAGCCACTATCCTGGAAAAAATGTCTCTCATTGAACACTGCATACATAGTGTTGCCCGTCGTCATAAGACCTATGGGGTGGAAAAAAGTAGGACGTAAAACAACAATTATTTTACTTCAATATATAGCGACAGATTTGTGGATGAAAGACAAATGTTTCGGCAATTTAAAGAATATAGGCCTAGTCCTCTAATTAGGCTTTTTCAAATCATGGTGTCCATTTATAGGTCTTCGTATACTCTCAACCTGTTTTACGACTGAGTTTCAGATATGAAGCAAAACTCTAGCTTATCTAGTATCTCTTGTCTTGACGGTATTATGACCAATGTTTTGGAGAGATGTCGATGGCATAATAAAGCCAGTCTTGTGTCAGTCCACTGACAGGCGCTGACAAAACAAGAAAAAAAAATAGTATTAGTTAAGACCTTCATGGCACCATTGCATGAACGCGGTCTATCATTTATGGGTCTATGTTAAAAGGGAGGTAACAACATTTTAATGGTCACTTGTAAGCTACAGACATCATTTAATGTCCCTGGTTAATCTCTAACCGTATGCTGGTGATTTCGTTGAGACAGAACAGTATAATAATAGTTCTATGGACTTGACACAAGTCCATGCGGCCTGACCATCCCCATTTCACAAAATCCTCAAAAAACATTGATTCAATTTTAAAAAAAAATCATGATCGTTCATATTTTAAAACTAAATTTGTTTTAAACTGTTAATGTACATGTATTAGGTAGTGAAAAGACGTTTATTCAAACGGATACCAATGCGACAATTTATTTTTACGACATCAGAAATATTATCCAGACATAATTTTATGACAATAATTAACGTCGCGAGATAGTTGATCTAATTGACCGAGGCTACAGTTAAACCGTAAAGCGGCAAGTATAAACATGCCTGACAAGAAATCGAAAGAAGTGTCCAAAATTTAGTTTTCAATTAAATAAATGCATGACAACATACTAATGATATAGAGTGATCATTGGGTAAGTAATGGATTCCGCTAATCAAATATCAACTGCGATTTTCGTGCAGTTCTTTTACCTCGGACCCAGATCAGCCCCCGAAAATGGCAAACCATCATGGTCTTTATGATATTGATAAGTAAAATAAATATTGTTAAAATAAATGTAAATTTGATCAGGTTGGACACACAGAACAGTATATCCCGTATTGTCTATTTTTGAAGGAATAAGATTAGTTGTTTATAATAGAAAATCTATTAGGAGAAACCTGTTTTGTAACTCGTGAGTAATTAGAGAAATTAGACTAAATAGGATTGGAAGAGGCATTTCTCAGATCAGAGATCAGGGTCTTGAAAAATGGACAGTGATTATTGTAAATAAGCCAGCGCCAGAAGTAAGCTTATACATGTGCCGTGGATGTGCAACTGGCTCAGGGTAAACAACATTGATTTACTATGGCAGACTATGGCAAAGAGTTTAAATTTACAATTGTCAGACTTCTGATATACTCTGTTAACTGAACATACTTGTTTTCGACAACGTTCTTAATGTCCATGTAGTAAACCTTTTCCATCATTGGCTATAGACTGCTATAGTAAATCAAAGTTGTTTATCCTAAGAGGGCAGTAGGCTTCTAGGAAATGAGCTTATTGCGCATGCACATATATTGTTCAGAAATTGTTACTGCAGTGAAACGAGAATGGGACAATAAGATCTGCATTTGCATCAAATTGTATGTAACCTATGAAATTTATTTTTTTCAGATTTTTACTGCTTTATAGTATAGAATAAAAACAAAATGGCTTCTTCATCCTTAGACTTTACCTCGACAGAGTTGTCTTTAATTGATTGTGGAATATCCAGTTTAAAAGACTTGCCTCTCCAGTCTCACCTTCTTACAGTCAATCTACACAGTAATTACATTCAAAGATTGGAGAATCTGTCACGCCTGTCACAGTTATGTCATCTTGATGTTTCTTCAAATCAGATCTCTAGAATTGAAGGTTTAGAAGGTCTGAGAAGTCTACGTACTCTGAATCTATCATGTAATATGATAACAGTTGTAGAAGGCTTGTCACATTTGAAGTAAGTGTTTAAACATATACTATTTTAAAATGACAAATTCACCATTTTCAGTGTTGATTTGGGTCTTGAATATATGTAAATAGTCTTCAGTGATACAAGAAAAGTGTGAGATTTCAAAATTTTTTCCAAACTTCTCTATTATGTCTTTTCTTTAAATGAAAGAGTTTTAAGAAATGACGACTCATCTTTTTAACTTTTATTGCAAAAAATAGTAATAGAGGACACACAAAGATTTGAAGGCTTCATTTTTGATGGTGACATGTGACTCTATTACTGATTAGCTTACCTAACAAATCCTGTTTCTCAGACTCTGGTACAATTGGTATGTACAGATGGTGAATCTGTCCCTTTAACAGTGAAAATATTTTGTTATTGTAGACTCATTCATTATGATATAATTATGAATTTAACATTTTTTTAAATTTTTTTCAGATCCTTAGTAAAAATTAATTTGAGTTTTAATCAGATAGATGATGTCAGTGGTTTTAAATTGATGAGTGGACCTGAATTTAAACTTTCACAGATAGAATTACAGGGGAATCGAATTAGATCAGCAGTACGTCTAGCTCATAGTCTCAGTCAATGTTGTAATTTAAAGAGTATGACACTCTTCCAGGATGGTTCCAGTAATCCAGTATGTCACCAAACAGGTAGGAATATCTATTCCTCTTATTGTCTATCAATTGTAAATAAAATAAATTGGAATCTTACTGCTTGATGAACACCGTTCAGTGTGTAATGAAGAAAACTTTTTCATGACAATCACATTGGTCAAATCTTGATTCCATTTCCAATTGTACATGGATCCCAGTCCACAAAGTACTGCAGTGCCTCGGCCATTGTCCCATAGACAATTTACCATTGTCAGTCCCTCTGACCCATATCACCGTTAGGATGAAACCAATGGGGAAAAGTTACTATTTGTCTTATTATTAGATCATACCCCAGACCAAGTATTGTGAACACAGATCAATATTACCAAGTTACCACTTGAAGCTTATTTCATAATGATTGCTGTAAGTTTTTGAGGTTATGTTTTTTTAAGATTTTTATGTTTATTTCATTTTTTCTAAGAATTGTTTTATTTTGTGTAGGCTATAGAAGTGATCTGTTAACACGTCTGCCACAATTAAACTCTCTAGATGGTAGAGATAGAAATGGTCAAGTGATTGTACAACAGGATATCATGGCTGACATTCCAGGTACATATTTCAAATTATCTAAATGCAATCAAATGATTAGTTGATTGTTGATTTTGAATTAATATTTAACTTTATGTGCCGGGTAATCAGGTGGCCTTATTTCTTAAATTTCTAAAGGAAGATTTTGTGACTTACACATATGCTTTGCTTATTTAAGATTAAACGTTATTAAGATACCAATATATCTCCTGGCCCTAATTGTGAATGTCCTAGATCATACAATAAACAGAGTATATTTGGTGATTCTTGGAAACCAAAATAGAAAAAATATCTGGATTATCTAAAGAATATAAATATTATAATTGCACTAATTTTTCTTATTTTAGGTCTAGAAGGATATATGGATTATTTGTTATCCACCTCTTCATGTAGCTCTGTCCATGTAAGTTATAATTTCAGGCATCTGAGTATTAAAATCTGCAAGATATACTTTGATCCCATTGAACACTAATCCACAGGGTTTTTTAAATATAAATTACTTGTATATTGAAATTATAGTTTCAATAAAAACTGACAATTTCTCAGTCTTAATAAAGGTAGACCAAACTTTCCTTCATTTTTTATTAACTTTTATTTTTAATGTAGGCACTGCAGTCTAAGTCTAACAACTGCCTTCTTGATGATTCATCCCAATAACCTTTTGACCTTTTGATCTCTGCTTTTCTGACAACTTTTGGGTTTGATGCTTTAGTCCCTTTTATGAGTTGTTTTGATCAACTAACATGATGAAAAAAATTGGAGAATATGATTAATATAAAGATTTTAAGGAGTTTTTTGTATTTCATTTCAGGAGAATCAGATAATGAATGTAATCACACCTAAAATAGATGAAGCTATGGAATCATTTAAAAGACGCTGTCAAATGTCTTATGATACAAACACATCAACATCAGATATTGATACCACCAGGAGTCCAAGAAGGAATAATACTGCTTCTAGAGAATCGGTATAATATGACATTTTATAATAGATCTTAAACACTTACTCCATTACAGCTTTTCTATGACCACATGTCATATCCCTTGCACTTTGTCAATAATTACATTTATATGATTTGAATGAAACACAATAATTGTTTGATGATGTCACTAAAGGTAAAATATGCTTTATCACATAAGGCCCTTCGCGGCTAGTGACGTCATCAAACACTTAGTTTTAGTGGAATTGTAGGAAACACGGACGTCTCATTGTAAATTGAAATGGTACAATTTGATGCTAGTAGTGTCTTTGATGCACATACAATATTAAGAAACCTTTTTTTCGCATAATGATGAGATTTTTGGAACACATGTTGGAACAAATAACTGCATTATCAAAAATGTTTCGCTCTTTTAGTTTTGAACATAATGTTCAGAAACCCGGGCATCTATGTATGCATAATCCACAGTAATATTGAAATTTATTTCTGTTTACAGGAAAAGAGTGAAATAAACTACAGTCAACGTTTGGAACATTTAGAAAGTCAGATTTCTGTCCTTTTGACTAAAAATCAGGTGATACAACTTATTTTTCTTTATTAGTGAAGATTAGGTTCAAATTTGAGAGTTCTTCCGATATTATCCACCAGGTTCAAGATTAGACAAGACTTGAAAAAACAAAATCTCAGAAGTTTCCATTATACATTGTAATAATCAACAACCCTAGTACGTCTTATTTTATTGAGTAACATAGGAATATATTGAAGGTTTTAAACTTATTTCCCCCGTCCGGGGGAAACACGTCGAAACGTTGCATAAAACTTTAACCAGTGATTGTTGTTCCATAAAGCTGTGTCTATATATCGTACTCACAATTGCTAAATGCCATTCAAAGACTTTATTTTATTGAGTAACATAGGAATATATTGAAGGTTTTTAAACTTATTTTATTGAGTAACATAGGAATATATTGAAGGTTTTTAAACTTATTTTATTGAGTAACATAGGAATATATTGAAGGTTTTAAACTTATTTTATTGAGTAACATAGGAATATATTGAAGGTTTTTAAACTTATTTTATTGAGTAACATAGGAATATATTGAAGGTTTTTAAACTTATTTTATTGAGTAACATAGGAATATATTGAAGGTTTTAAACTTATTTTATTGAGTAACATAGGAATATATTGAAGGTTTTTAAAACTTATTTTATTGAGTAACATAGGAATATATTGAAGGTTTTAAACTTATTTTATTGAGTAACATCGGAATATATTGAAGGTTTTAAACTTATTTTATTGAGTAACATCGGAATATATTGAAGGTTTTAAACTTATTTTATTGAGTAACATAGGAATATATTGAAGGTTTTTAAAACTTATTTTATTGAGTAACATAGGAATATATTGAAGGTTTTTAAAACTTATTTTATTGAGTAACATAGGAATATATTGAAGGTTTTAAACTTATTTTATTGAGTAACATCGGAATATATGGAAGGTTTTAAACTTATTTTATTGAGTAACATAGGAATATATTGAAGGTTTTAAACTTATTTTATTGAGTAACATCGGAATATATTGAAGGTTTTTAAAACTTATTTTATTGAGTAACATAAGAATATATTGAAGGTTTTTAAAACTTATTTTATTGAGTAACATAAGAATATATTGAAGGTTTTAAACTTATTTTATTGAGTAACATCGGAATATATTGAAGGTTTTAAACTTATTTTATTGAGTAACATAGGAATATATTGAAGGTTTTTAAAACTTATTTTATTAAGTAACATAAGAATATATTGAAGGTTTTAAACTTATTTTATTGAGTAACATAAGAATATATTGAAGGTTTTAAAGCAAATTATCAAATGAAGCAACTTAGGGATATGAAGGTTTTTAAACTTGATAAATTGCGTAACATGGGGACAAATACAAGGTTAGTAAATTATTACATTGACTACGGAAAAACCGATAGAAGGTTAGGAAAGTTAGTAAATTATTAAATTGAGTAACACAGGGATATTATGGACGGTTAGTTAAATAATAAAATTGTGTAAAATAGAGATAAATAGAAGGTTAGTTAATTCATAAAATTGTGTAAAATAGAGATAAATAGAAGGTCAGTTAATTTATAAAATTGTATAAAATAGAGATAAATAGAAGGTTGGTAAATTTATAAAATTGTGTAAAATAGAGATAGATAGAAGGTTAGTAAATTATTGAATTGAGTAACATAGGGATTTTATGGACAGTTAGTTCATTCATAAAATTGTGTAAAAAAGAGATAAATAGGAGGTTAGTAAATTTATAAAATTATAAAATAGAGGTAAATAGAAGGTTAGTAAATCATTAAATTGAATAACAAAGAGATTTAGTAAATTTATAAAATTGTGTAAATAGAGATAAGTAGAAGGTTAGTGAATTTATAAAATTGTGTAAAATAGAGATAAGTAGAAGGTTAGTTAATTTATAAAATTGTGTAAAATAGAGATAAGTAGAAGGTTAGTAAATTTATAAAATTGTGTAAAATAGAGATAAATAGAAAGTTAGTAAATTTATAAAATTGTGTAAAATAGAGATAAATAGAAGGTTAGTGAATTATTAAATTGAGTAACACATGGATTAATGGACGGTTAGTTAATTTATAAAATTGTGTAAAATAGAGATAAATAGAAGGTTAGTAAATTTATAAATTGTATAAAATAGAGATGAATAGAAGGTTAGTGAATTATTAGATTGAGTAATACAGGGATAAGCGGAAGGTCAGTAAATTTATTAAATTAAATTGATTATGAGTAACAAAGATAAATAGATGCCTGATAACAGAGAGACAAATAGTTATCAACAAAGTTGGCTGTATTTATAAAGCTTAAAATACATTATAGCAGATATTTGTATGAAGGGGAGATAATCAATTTTGCTGTGCTAACTTTAATTTTAATATTTGACTGCAAACTACCATATTTCACTGATACTTTCATGAATTAAATTATTGAAATATTTAGACCTGTGAATTTATGTTTGAAAATAATTTTTTATTTGAATAGTATGATTAAGGTGAATTTGTGATAATATTCTACATTTTGCTTAAAACCATGCATATTTCCCTATAAAAATTTGTAAATTATTTATTTATTCCTTGCTGTATTACACAAAACATATTATTTTCAATAATAAATTTTTGTTAGGGTCAGTATACCCATGAAACTTAAAATTATTAAATTAATGACACATAGTAAGTTATTAGGGGATGAAAGCTTACCTTCATCCATCCCAACTCCTACTGATTGAGCCTGCCAGCCAGCTACTGATTGAGCCAGCCATTTGACTGCCGGTTACATTAAGAGTCATAATTTGACTACATTAAGAGTCATAATTTGACAGTCTTAATTGAAATTCTGTAATTTTTTTGAAAACAAGTACCGAAGTACGGAGGAATAAAATTTGCCCAGTCTGTCCTTAGCTATAGTGAACATGTAATCAATCCTGAATTAAAACAAACAGTATTTCACTTTGTCCAATCTGTCATAACAATTATAAACCTTCCAAGGGAGGTAATCCAAATTGTTATTATTTTTAAATTTTTGAAAAAAAAAATTGTCTTTATTGAATAAAATGTACTTTTCTGATATGGCAAATCTTTGGAAGTAAAAAGACTTTATCATGTAAATTATTGTATTTTTATTAGTTTTATATTTGCATTTCCAACAAAAGGTTCATTCTCAATTTTAACCAACTTTTTAGATTATTTAGAAAATTTATATTATTTTGATGTTCATCAATCAATTATGTTATTTCTAATTTTGCTATTTTTGACGGGATGATATGTCATCCTATTATGTCATTAAGGTAGAATTAAAGATTGCAATTTGGCTGCAAGTTTGATTGTTAAAGGTGCACACTGATGGTCTTGTTCAGCTACATTTGTCTTGCAGCCACAATTATCAAATTGGTTTGATATTATAAATCCGAATTATCAAACTGGCTTGATATTATAAATCCGAAGTATCAAATTGGTTAAATATTATAAATTGGCAACCAAGACTGTGTATCAAAGACTGTTTGCGTATCGCAATTAATCAAAATGTATCATGCACAAGCAATGGCGTATTTATTGGTTAAATCTGAATTAATAACCTAAATTTCAGACTTTGTCTGGGGAAACACAAGATGAGAGAGAAAGTTCTGTTAATGCCATTAAACTGGAAGCTGAAAGAGGTAAGGATGGAATTAATCATACATACATTGTGCTCAAGCAATAAATGATAGATCAATTCTTAATAAATCATTATAAATATCAATAAACAAAATTTGATAAATTCAAGTATTTAATATTGAACATTGACTTGTTATGTGAGTCCACTTTAACTGAAGAAATTATAAATTTTTACAAATTTCAATGCTTAAAGTCTTGTAAAATTAAATTTTGTTTTAAAGAAGGATAGGTACACTGACACTTTCTGTTTGCATGTGAGGAATGAGCTAAGGAAGCCCATGTCATGCAGAGAATTTAGGTTGACATCAATTTTCATACCATCTGCTTCCACTTTTGTGAATCGTGTGTAAATACTATTTTAACTTGACAAAAACACAGCAGACGTGTTAACAAAGCGTGAATCAAACGTAAACAATAATCTACCTATGTGTATTGTACCATTGTGTCTTCGCCAATTTGGCAAATTTTTTGGGTGTGCAGTGCGGTTCTTATTTAAATGATCTCGAATTATGTGTTCTACTGCGAAATGCCAATGACACACCTTATCATTGAAGCAAAATGATCAACAGAAATTAATCATCAAATTTTAAGCTCTGTATTTAGTAAAATTTAGTTGCAATGTACTTCATAATGTTTTTCTCCAGATGTTGACACAGAAGATAATGAGTCGAGAGATTTTAATACGACAACCACACAGAAACCTACTAGAAAAACTCGCAAAACTAAAGTACCAAATTATCAACGCCAGAC